AAGGCATACGAGGAAATGTACAAGAGATTAGACACAAATGAAGGACAAAATGGCATCTTTAGGCTTGCAAAATCCAGGGAGAATAGGAAAAAGGATCTAGGTAGCATTAGGTTTATTAAGGTTAACAATTGTGTTATTTTAGTGAAAGATCATGATATTAAGAGGGTTTAGGTAGTTACTTCTTGGGCTTATTTAATAACGGTGCCTTTACCTGTAGAGATAGTAACATTGATGGGTCAGTCGACCATCATACTACGGCTAATGACTGTCCTACAAGTAGGATTGGGATTGAGGAAGTCAAAATGGCCTTAGAAAGATGGGGAGGGACAAAGCTGTCGATCTAGATCAAATTTCTATCACTATGTGGTTGACCCTAGGAGAAGAGGGAGTTAAGTGGTTGACCAACATCTTTAATATTATTTTAGAGACTGCCAAGATGCCAGAGGAGTGGAGAGAGTCTACGGTGATACCAATCTACAAGAATAAAGGAGATCCCCAACGTTGTGGTAACTACAGAGGTATTAAACTACTCAGTCATACCATGAAGCTATGGGAAAGGGTGTTAGAGGCTAGGTTGAGACAGGTTACTAGGGTTTCGGAAAACCAATTTGGTTTTATGCCAGGAAGGTCTACTACAGAGGCGATTCATCTACTTCGACGGCTTATGGAGAAATATAGGGAAAAGAATAAAGATCTTCACATGGTGTTCATTGACCTTGAGAAGGCGTATGATAACGTGCCCTGAGATACAATCTGGAAGACCTTGAAAAAGAGATGGACCCTAACTACTTATATCCGGGCGATTCGTGATATGTACTGTAGATCTACTACATACGTCAGGACTACAATTGGCGACACCGAGGCTTTCCCGGTGGAAATCGGACTCCACCAGGGGTAGGCTCTTAGCCCTTACATCTTTGCCTTGATTATGGATGACATCTATTGTGCAACACCAGACGGTGTTCCATGGTGTATGCTTTTCGCTGACGACATTGTCCTAGTTGCTGAAACAAAAAATGAGCTGAATAGTAGACTGGCTACCTGGAAGACTGTTTTGGAAGAAAAAGGTTTAAGGATCAATATTGAAAAGACAGAGTATTTATGTTCAAATTTTAGTGGGAACCAAAACGATGAAGATGTAGAAGCATGCATTGATGGACACGTTCTCCCCTCAAAAGAATGTTTCAAGTACCTAGGGTCTATGATACATAAAGATGGGGGTGTAGATGATGACGTTACACACCGTATAAAGGGGGGATGGCTAAAGTGGAGGGCTGCTACTGGAGTTTTGTGTCACAAGAAGGTGCCTCTAAAACTTAAGGGAAAGTTTTATAGAATGGCAATAAGACCAGCGTTGATGTATGGATCAGAATGTTGGGCAATCAAGAAGGATCACGTAAGGAGAATGGAGGCCACAGAAATGAGAATGCTTCGTTGGACATGTCGTAAGACTCTGTGGGACATGACACCAAACTCTGTAATTATGATATCCTTGGGGGTGGTGCCTGTATCCGAAAAATTGAGGGAGGGAAGACTACGGTGGTTTAGGCATGTCATTAGGCGATAATCGTCGGATGCGGTCAGAAGGGTAGATTCGATTACAGTCGAAAGTTCCAGAAGGAGAGGACAACCAAGGAGGAAGTGGGTAAACTGCTTGAGATCTGATTTGAAGGATTTAGCATTTACTAAGGACATGACCTCTGACAGGAAAGTATGGAGACTTAAGACCAGGGTAGCCGAGTAGTGTGGGTCACAGCCTTGGGGTGTAGCATCTCTATCTTCTTTTTAATGCCTCTGTAGTAATTTCCATGACTTCTACTTCTATACGTTTCTGTCATTGGAATCTATGAAGGCCCAGAACTAGAGTAGCGGAGTAGTGTTGCCTTAGTTTAGGTGGTAACCCATTTGACTTTATTCCTTCTAGTAGGTTGTTATCGCTGACTACTGTGTATTCCTTCCCTTCATGTTTCTTCTTTTTAAATTTAGTCGGGGTTTACATTTCTGTCTATATGCAGAGATTATTACGCAGGGATTACTTCCCATTACAGACGCGCATATGAAGACTGCATATGAAGACTGTTCAACTATGTATTTATTTATTTATTTATACATGCATTGTATTTTATCTTTATTTTTAATTTACTTGACTGTCGGAGGTCTTCCACAGAAGCTGCTCTCAACCTGGCATTGGGAGCAGCCTACTACACTACCTCCCCCGTACCCCATTACATATGGGAATAGGGTTTTATTGTTATTGTTGTTGTATTAAGATTTCTGAGTGGAAGTGGGAGTTTATTACGATGGACTTCGTTATCGGTCTTCCCCTGACTCCTTCCAAAAAGGATTCTGTTTGGGTGATTGTGGATCGACTCACCAAGTCAGCTCATTTTATTCATGTTCGGGATAATTATTCTTTGGACAAGTTGGCTAAATTGTATATTCCTGAGATTGTTAGACTCTATGGTGTTATATTGTCCATCATCTCTGACTGAGATCCAAAGTTTACTTCTAGGTTCTGGAAAGCTTTGCACGAGACTCTAGTAGTCATTTGAATTTCAGTACAACTTTTCACCCGCAGACTGATGGTCAGTCTGAACGAGTGATTCAAGTGCTGGAGGATATGCAACGGGGTTCTGTGATTAACTTTCGTGGTAGTTGGGAAGATTTCTTGCCTTTAGCTGAGTTCGTTTACAATAATAGTTACCAGGCAAGTATTCACATGGCAACCATATGAGGCTCTATATGGACGTCATTGTCGTATTCCTATCTGTTTGACCGAATTTTATGATAGGAAGACTTTGGGTCCAGAGTTAGTTCGAGAGACTGAGGATACTGTCAGATTGATCCATGATCGTCTAAGAGAGGCATTCGATAGGCAGATGTCATATGCAGATCAACAATGAAAGGATATCGAGTTTGAGGTTAGGGATCAAGTTTTTCTGAACGTATCTCCATGGAAGAAAGTGTTGAGAATTAGATGTAAGGGTAAGTTGAGTCCAAGATTTATTGGGACGCATTGTATTATGAAGAAAGTCGGACATGTTGTTTATCAGCCTGAGTTGCCTCTCCAGCTCAGTCGCATTCATGATGTTTTTCATATATCCATGTTGAGGCTATATCATCCAGATACAGGTCACATCAATTAGATTGAGGAGGTAAAGTTGAGACATGATTTTTCTTATGAGGAGGAGCCCATTCAGATTTTAGATTAGGATGAGAGAGTTCTTCGGAATAGGCATATTCATATGGTCAAAGTTCAATGGAGTAACAGTTGACCCTCCGAAGCTACTTGGGAGACATTGAAGTCGATGGAGGCTCAGTTTCCTCATTTGTTTGCATCAGGTAAATTTCGATGACGAAATTTCTTTTAAGGGGAGAGAGTTGTCACACCCTAAATTAGGGCCTAAAATTTTCTTAATTTTTTTTTGACTAAATTAAATTTGGGGACCAAAGTAAAATTTTGATTAAATTTGGATCCAAATTTAGAAATTATCAAAAACTGGAGGACCTATGACATGATTTTTCCATTCTCTTTTTAGGGTTTATATAACCCCAAATATAGAAAGTTTCCGTTTAGAAACTAAATTTTCTCTTTTTTCAAACATTTCCTCTTATAGAAGGAAACTTTTGATCGTCGATTCGTCGCCAATCGTTTCTTCGCTTTCGACACCTCCCACACCATTGTGTTCCTTGTTTCGTCATGAGTCATCTGGTGTACACTTTGTCTCCATTGCCACCAGCGTGTGAAGGGATGAAAAAGATTATGTTTTTGACATTTGAAAATCGAGCTCTCCGCCGTTCACTGTTGTGAACCGAGCTTGGTAAGTATCTCAAAACCCCTTAAAATGCAATTAGGAAATTGTTTTAGAATTTTTTTTGACCCCCTATAACCCCGCATGTGCCGCCCCTACGCGTGGGAAAAGTCCACCGTCTGGTGGACTGCTTGGAAATGGGCCGATCCGACATGACCTGCCGACCCGGTCCGACCGTTAACTTTGACCAAAAAGTCAAAATTTTAAAAAAATCATATTTTATGTTTTTCGACATCCTGAGTCCGATTCAGTAATTCGTTTTGCCAAATTCTGACCTGAAAGCCTCGAATCGAGCTCATTAACCCTAAAATGCTTAGTATTTTTAGAATTTTTGCTTATTTATTTGAGATTTGGTTATGGAATTGATCTAATAAGATATTTTTATGAAGATACTCGTGTTTCACCTGATCGAGTTTCTGTTAGATCCGGTGTTTCCCGTATGTTAGATCCGCACGATCTGCATTCCTCGATAGTTACTCGTGGGTGTATGTAAATTGTTTAAATAAAGGTTATTATTATTTATATTAGGATTTTGATATAGATTTTCCAATTCATATGATCTAGCACTGCCACTGATCGTGATTGGCAGACATTAGTAGGCTTTCCTATCATATTAGTTAGACCGATTCATGTGTTTTTCATGATAGTGTTACATTACTATTTTAAACTATCTATATGAATAGTTTTAGATTTCTGAGGATACTAAATATTTTTACGAGACAATACCCGATTTTCTGAATATTGTTTATCATATATATGATTTACTGTACATTTTTACATGATCTCTAATTTCTGTATTTTGTATATGATTTCTGAGTCTTTAATATTTTCATGTTTTATTGGATTAAACTACCATTTTCACTCTAATACATATCTTTTTATTACTGTCATTGGGGGTATTACTGGATGAAGTATATCAGGCCTAGTCTATGACTTGTAAAACCTTACCGCAGGCTCCTCGGCTTTATGCTCAGGGTAAGTCCTTACCGCAGGCTTCTCGACTTTGTGCTCAAGGTAAGTCCTTACCGCATGTCCTTATGCTATGTGTATAAGGCCCTTACCGAGTGTATAGGTGGATGTATGATTCTGAGAAACCTACACATTCTGGTGATCGGATGGGAGTAGTGTTCATATTTTTAAAACATGTTTGATAAACTAATTTTACTGAAGTATTGTATTTGTATGTTTTTATACATCGTAAGTAGCACACTGGACTTTTAAGCTCATTCTGTAAATTTCAAACATTTTAGATAACAACAGACCTTTAGGCTAGTAGACTTAGCATCAGGAGGACCGACTACCCCTATTTTTGTACCACTGCATATCTCTATATACATTTTTGTTATACTTTGGTGACACTTGTTTTTGCTTTTATCTCGATATATCTGGATTACCGGTATTTTGCTATGTATATGTTTTATACGATTTTTCTGATACATATATATATTGATATATGGACGTTTATCATATGAATTTTTCTTATGACTAATTTCATATTATATTGTATATGGATTTGAACATTATTTTAAATATGAAAATAAATTTCTGAATAAGATATGTAACCGCCTAGATTTAGGCATAAATTCAAGGCCGGGTCTAGGGGTTACATATTTGGTGTTTCTTTTTTCTTTGAAATAAGACAAATTTACCTCCCCCATCAACACCAAGGGCAACAGGGCATAATCCTGCGGATACGACGGCAGCAGATCCACTAGAGGAACCGCCGGCGATTTTGTTGGGATCATACGGATTTCTAGTAGTCCTGCAGCGTTAAAAAATGAACATGCCACCATCTTTAATGGAAAGAACTTGGTAAGATTGAGCAAAGTGTTAAAATTAGTGAACTTGGTTGTCTACATGATAACGTTGTGTTTTTTTTTTTTATGGACAAAAGGGAAAAACACTAGAAAATTCTCACCCATAGTGGGATTTATCCCACTGGTCCCAGCTCCAAGCTCATGCATATTAGTCTTTCCGACAATTATAGCACCACAGGATCTGAGGCGCATAACACAGCATGCGTCGCCGGTGCAATGTCTCACCTTGTGCAGCCACTTTGTACCTCCTAGAAGAATCGAGAGTAAGATAATGACGAATTAAGAATGAAAACCGACACAAGTAAAGGAAGGCAAGTGGAGAAATCATGAGACCTGTTGTTGGATAAGGAGAACAATCTATTTCATCCTTGATAGCTATTGGGACTCCATCTAGAGCCGATTTCTGATCCCCTGGAGAGAACGATCAGACCAATATAAACATACAGATGGTATTGATTAATATACATGAAAATGTTTCACTTTTGGTAAGTTTGGAGTACCATGGAGAATGCTTATGTTCTAATGTTTCAGGAAAATGTGATTTGGTTAGACTAAATGGTTTACCTCTTTTGTACCGAAGAGTTGACTCTGTAGCTTGCCTTAGGATATCTTCAGCGTCATAGTTAATGAAAAAGGACATTGGCAAAGCACTAGTGGAAGATTCGCGCAAGGCGTTTATAAACTGCTCCGCAACCTTATAATCGAAAATCGAATTCCGTGACCATGGTAGAGTAAAAGTCATTGGTACGAAATAGCTAGAACATCTTGAATTTTTCAGTTGATACTGTAATCACTCATTTAAATGGGAAACAAACAATATGGCGTACACTAAAAATGCCAAGAATGATACCCTCAGTGGAGTTATTTCTGCAGAGCTGTAGGCTCTTGAATAATCCGTTATTGTCCAGCGTCGAAAGCTGCTGGATTTTAAATCATCCGGTGACTTATTTGAGGTTAAAGGAAGGCAATTTATTGCCCATTGAACCCGTTCTGATGGAGATGCATCAGAGTCTATGTGTTCGACTTGTTGTTCATTAAGGTCTGTGTTGATGCAATGAAATTAGAGTCAAGAAAAGAAGTACGTTTTGGAAAGTATGCAGCACATACATACCAACAAAAGGATGCAAAGGAACAAACATCGGTGACTCCTCGAGCGTCGCATTTGAAACAAGCTGCTCAAAGGGGAAGAAGACATACACAGTAAGAAACAATAACAGCAAACAGGAAGCAACAATGTCATGGTCCATACTCCATAATAAGCATCATTTGTTTTTGCGAGCAAACATAAAGCTTGCACGTTCCAAAGATGTCATGATAAATGAATGTCCTGTTCCTAGCAGAGAGCCTAACAAGTACATCAATCAAAGCATCAATGTCTGGTTTCCAATCAACTGCTTGGTTCAAAGTAAAGTGAAAGAACAAGATGTAAAATGGTAACAAACAAGATTGCTAGATTTTTTTTTCTTGTGTAATATGTGCAGTTCTGCAGTGCGGCGCCTTAGTATACGGTTAAAATAAGACGCTACCGGTTTTGTTATTATTTTAAATAATAGAACCGGCAAAACCGGTAAAAAATAACCGAAAACATCATTATTTTGACCGATTCTAATTACCTATATAGGAAAACAGGATAAAAAAATCTGGTCAAAAAAGATGTTTTTGGTAAATGCTACCTAAAACATTATTTTGACCGGATTTTTTCTACCGAATTTTTCCTATATAAATAATTAAAACCGATCAAAATAATGATGTTTTCAGTCATTTTTTACCGATTTTGTTATTTTAATCGGATACTAAGACGCCGCACGTAAACGTTTCCGTGTAATATTCATTCTGAGATCTCAACTATTGGCCAATAATTCATTGTACTATTCTTCCTATGGAATGAATGCCCCATAAGAAATAGTGACCAAATGACCTTCACATGGGTGTCAGTAAAAGATGTGACCACTGACACAGTTTAAGATATTGTCCCTTGACAACAAAGTACTAGGAAAATGTTAGGCGCCTCTTTACTTTACAGCTTAATTTGTAATATAGGACTTTTTAACAGAAAATAATGGTAAAAATTAAAGGTTTTGAAAGGAAAAAAAAACTTAAAAGTGTGTACCTTGTGAATGAGGTTGTTCCTTTTCAATATGTATAACAACAACGTCCCAATGATCCTTGACTCCAGGAACCAAGCAAATATCTTAACCAGAAATCCAGCCATGCGAGGAGCTTTACAGCAAGCACACAAAGTATATGGTAAAATTACTCTAGGTAACAATGAGTGTTCATGAGGCAAATTATATGATTATGCAACTAAACCATGGCTTTCGGAGTGTACTTTAGACTCCAGCTGCATGCTTGAAATAAATTGGGAATATTTAAACCTCAAAGTCAACAACTGCTGTTTTAAGTAACAAAAGGTATCTGCAAATTTTTCAGGAAGTGTCGATTCAGTTTCGGGTAATAGTACTAAACAATTCAATGAGGTTGTTGGCTTCTGAAGCAATCTGCATATTATTACTTAGTTGAAACAATTTCGCATCTGTGTAAATTTGAAAGAAAAGTTGAAATCTTGAGAAAAAAAAAGCTAGTATGAATGAGGAAGCTGATGTATATTTGAAACCTTTAACATTGGCTTTGAGATAAAACTCATTGCTTGCAGGACCAAGATCAATGGATTCAACCGGCTTGTAAACGACTCCGGCAGCCCCGAACAATCCCATTTCGCCGGAGAAGACTTGTGAAGTGGTGGTTGTGGTGGTGGTTAGGGAAAATGCAAGTATGCAACAAAGCAGAGGTTGAACAAGAAAGCAACAACGTTCAACCAATACAATTATATATATCTTAGGTACATGGGTAATATAGAATGGATAGTGAGACAATATTATATATGGCGGAGATGGCAACAAGTTACAGCTGCTTAAAAGTTTAATACATCATCACAATTCATTAAATGGCATCTCTATAGTCAATAATCACGGACAGACCTACGATTATACTAGAGACAAACTTATAAAATTTTAAAAGATAAAAATATATTATTAATAAAAATACTTAAATTATATTAAAATTTAAAATTTTTAAAGGATGACCGTCTCTATTAGTCTTTTTCAATAAAGTATGAACATTAAAATTAAGAAAAATCAGTGTCAGTAAACAAGAAGTCATTTGAATGGTAGTTTGATTAGTTATTTAAGGGCGACTTATTTATTATATAAGCAATAAAAAATGAATAGGAAAAATATTCAAAGATAGTGGGGACTCGCAAGATTAAAAGTTTGTTTGTGAATTACCTAACCATATAATGCATGAAATTAATTGAGGGGCCGCATTCAATATTTTTGAAGGACCATACTAAATATATATACTATATTATATTATAGTTTGCCACTTTCATAAAGCTAGATGGCTTGGAACAAGTAAATAGGAGAAATTATTTCATGGTTTAAGTTGATCACGTCATTTATGATCCTAGTAAATTACATCTATTAATTTTAAAACAACTTCCAAATAATTATCCACTCTTTATTTACACACATAAAATATGCGGAAATTCACATTGGAAAAAATAAGATGGAAAAATATTATTAGTTGGGCCTTAGATCCTTCTAATAATTTTTTCCTTCACATGTTTTACTTTTTTTGTAATTACAAAATGTATAATTATATTATATATAATATATTAATAATATTTGTTAATATATTATCATATATTTTATTTATTTATTTAATGGTATGTAATATAAAAATCAATTAAAATTGTGGAAGAATTTTTTTAATAAAATTCTTTATAATATTATAATTGCACCATAAAGGTAGAAAAATCGATGGCCAAATTAGATTAATAAAGGTAGAAAAACTGGACTCTGGAGAGTCCAGTGTTTTGAAAACTGTACCGGATCGGTCGGTTTAATTGGGAACCGTTGTCTAGTCCGATTCAATCTACACTGGTTGAACCGCTACTAGTGAATCGGCTAGAACCGTTGAATCGTTCGAACCGGATCGGCTGAAAACTGAAAAACGAAAAAAACCGCCAATTTTGTTTTTTTTTTTATAAAAAAATTAAACCAAACGACGTCGTTTGTTAAACGAGCCAAGTCAAACTCGGGTATTACTGAGCTCGACTCGAACTTGAAAACTTTAAAAGTAAGCTCGACTCAAACTCACAAGCTAAAAATTATCAAGTTCAACTCAAACTCGAAATATAATATTGAAACTTGAACTCAAAAAAAATTTAGAAGCTCGATTGAAGCCTAAAATATTATGTTGTAGTTAATTTGAATTATTTTGTCTCACTTGATTTTATGGTTTTTAACTTGTATATGTTATGATTTGCTTTGAATATGACTTGTGATATAAAAAATTATTTTTTATTAAATATTTTTGATATTTTTATTTAATTTTTTAAATAATTATGATGTCGTCTGGTTCTTCCTATTGGTCAGACCGGTTCGATCGGTTGAACCAGTGAACTGGTAGCATGATCGATTTGTTAACCGGTTCGATAATTTTTAACCGATCTAATTCTAAAAACATGCTGGAGACAAAAAAAAAATTACAGCATTACCAAAAAAAAAAGAAAATCCATGTAGACAAAGCTAGGAATTAAAGTCAAACACACCACTGTGCGACTCTTTCAACTAAAATAGAGGTTTGGTAAATTCACAGCGCAACTTTCCAGAGTAAAAAAGAAAAGAAAAAGAAAATTAAATAAATTTAAAAACAGCCCTTCTTCGTCGGTTGTTATACCTAGCCAACCTAGAACTTTCCTTGAGATCACATGCAGGGAAAATTTACTCATTAAGAAACTATTAATAGCTAATAGTTAATTGTTATTAACGGCTTAGTTACATGTTAATCTACAGTTAAACTATTGTAATTATTTATCAATTTTATTTTATAATTTATACTACAAAAAAATATAACATTTAACACATATTTATATCGGTGTAAGTTAATAAAATAAACAAGTGTAATACTTAACACATACTTACACCGATGTAAGTGTATAAAACAAATAAGTGTAGCACTTAACACATACTACACCGGTATAAGTGAATAAAATAAAAAAAGTGTAGCACTTAACACATACTTACAACGGTGCAAGTAAATAAAATAAAAAGATGTAGCACTTAACACATACTTATACCGATGTAAGTATGTACATCTCCCAATATCTTAGTACCTAACAATAAACATATAATCATATTAGTATTAGTATGTTTCTATATTTTCAAAGAAAAAAATATTAAAAATAATATATATATATATATATATATATTAAGTTAATTGTATACAAATTTTATTAAATATATATAAAAAATTTAAATAATAGAAACTTATATTAAATTATTTATGTATAAATATAATAAATTAGAAATATAATTATAAACTTAATTTATTAACGGTTAACCATTTATCAAAATTCGTAAGCGTAACCTTAACCTTAACCATTAACAATTATTTTTAGCGGTTTGATTAACGAAACCGTTGAATATTAACAATTCGATTAATTAATTTGTTAAATATAACAGTTATACCGATTAACGGTTATTACAAATTCCTTCCTTTTTTTTTTCTCTGAAATATTATTTTTCCAATCGTTGGATTGTATCAGGTGAAATATTTCCAATCAATTCTCGTATTTTTATTTCAATATTCAGGTATACAAAATATTGAAGAGATGTGTTAATCTCGAGAAACGACTTTCATTTCAACAGTTACACCAATCAAGATAAATTTACTTTTAATACATTGATTTTTTTCACGATAACTATAATTTGATTTTCGTTTGAATTATTTTTGTTAATCAATGCTAATAATTCATTTTCAACAATTTATTTTTTCGACAACATCTAATCATGATATATGTCTCATGTCCCTATTCACGTACAGTTTTAAGAAACACGTTACCATTTAAATTCTGCTTATGAAAGGACTACATTGAATATGACATTATTATTTATTAGTAGAATATTAATGAACTCAAAAATCAATCTTTATGGATTATAAAATAATATAAAGATTGATTAACCCGTCCCCCTCAAACCATTTTTTCCTTTTCAAATCATTTCTTCGAAAACGAAGTGGCCCCTTCCATTAACCCATTTGTTTTTCCAAATTCCATTTCCAGTACTAAGTCAGTTTGAACAGATCCGTGGATAATTTCTTCTTCTGCTTGGTTTAATCCCTCGTTTGATTTAAGTACCGAAACTTCAGCTCAGTTTTCTCGCACTTCCGAACGAACTTTCCAGGCTCAATTTCTTCCGCCTTGCAGTTCGATCGGACCACCTTCCTCGTAGAGCAACGATCGCCTTCGTCAGCGGTTTAATTTCTGAACAAAAATTCTGGGTTTTCTCTTTTTCTTCTAATTTCATAAGATTTTGCATGCTAATTTCTTGATAGGTAAAGGTTTGATTTTGTGTTATAGCACGGTTTTTATCAGATTTTTATCTGAACAAAGATTGTTAATTTCGCATCCACGAATTTTGATATATCCCTTTTAGCTCTGTCGTTGTTTTGCATATCCCTTGCATATTTTTGTACTTAATATTTCTTAATCTTGTTGTTGTTGGATCTGCTTTCTTTGACTTAGCTTCTTGCTGTTTTTTCTCTTGTTTTTATACTGATCTTTTTTTACCAGCTTTGGGTTTGATGTTTTTCAATTAGTTGAGTAGGATTTCATTACTCTTATATCTCGTGTTACAATTTTAATCCTTTTTTGCTTGGCTCGGATATTTATTGAACATTTTAAATTATAGTTTCTAGATATTGGCCTATAGTTAAATAAGATAGTATTATTTTTTCTTAAAATCCTATTAAGTAACCAACTAGGATTTTTAGTACTCCTCAATTCTCTAGCGTTTTATTAGTGCATCTTCTGTCTTATTTGGATTCTTTTTTCATAGTTCCTCATAGCTTCAGTTACAGATGATTACTTGAGGTCATGTCATTCTTTTAGATCTCATGGGGCGTATAGGGGGAGGGCTCGACAGAGTGGTGACAAGGAGACTAGATTAAGAGTTTGCTCGCTGAATGTAGGCACATTAAATGCTAGGCTGCTGGAGCTGACCGACGTACTTAATGATAGAAAAATAGATTTTTCATGTATTCAGGAGACTAGGTGGAAAGGGTCTCGCGCCAGAGAGTGTAATGGGTACAAGTTGTGGTATTCAGGCGTAGATAACGCTAGAAATGGGGTGGGTATCTTGGCATCCTCTAGGCTCAAGGAAAATGTAGTTGAAGTTTGCAGATACCGGGATAGGATCATGATGATTAAGATTATTATAGAAGAGGAAGTAGTGAATGTCCTTTCAGTGTACGTCCCACACGTTGGCCTAGGGGAGGGGGAGAAACGTTGCTTCTGGGATCAGTTAGATGATATACTTAGGAGCATTCCGGAGGACCAAAGAGTTTTCATAGGGGGAGACTTCAATGGCCATATAGGAAGTGCAACCGACGGGTATGACGGTGTTCATGGGGGTTTCGGTTATGGTAGCAGGAACGATGGGGGGCGTACGTTGCTTGATTTTGCTACTGCTCACGCATTGGTGATCACTAACTCCTTCTTTAATATGAGAGATGCGAACTTGATTACGTTTCATAGCGGGGGACATTGTACCCAAATCGACTACATCTTGATTAGAAATCAGGAACGATGGGCTTGCATTGACTGTAAGGTGTTCCCTGAAGAGGCATGTGCATCACAACACAAATTGTTGGTTTTGGTGTACCGCGTACCCCACGGGCG